CGCCAACCTCCTGTGTTTTGAAACTAGAAAAATACTATGACAAATTCAACTTTGTATATCAAATCATAAATTCAAATTTTTGAACTAAGCAAGATCTTAATTTGAACTTAAAACTTTAAATTGAGGTGATTTGAGCTGCAATCCGAATGTAATTTAGATACCAATAATTTGAATTAAGAATAATATATGAATATGTGTTTGAATAGAGTATTAAAAATTATTTAAAAATTTTGGGTTTACTCGAAAAAAAAAAAAAGAAAAAGTTTTGAGTTTAATAACAAATCTTACAAAAACTCGATATTGATGTAAGAATTACTTAGGTTATATGGCTCTAAATTTGTTCATTTTTTTTCTTACAAAAAAGAATCATCTTAATTAAAGTTGAAATAAAAAAATTATGATATTTTAATACGTGACTTTTTATAACCAGAAAGAAATAATTTTTTTTTTTTTTCAATCCAAAATGTGTAACCGGTTGCATATCTGACACCGGTATTTAATATGTTCTATGCCAATCAGTTAACAACAGCCCCGCAGATTACTCTCAACGGCTCACGTGAAAGGAGAGTTTCCGTTCGGCCAAAAGAGATGTATGAGTTTTGACGTCAATTAATATTCAATGAAGAAAGGTCAAACTGACAAAAAGAGATCAAAGTCTTCTGTAAAAAAAAAACCGTGCAAAAATTCCAGCTGTAGTGCCTGAAAAATTGCTATAAAAAATGACTGAATTTGACAAATTATTTGCTTTAAAAGTCTTCTAATTTAAGGCTCTTTTATTTTACTGATTTAAATTTAAAATTTAAATTTTATTACAGTAAAAAAATTTTAAAAACAGTCACATTTAATTTTTTTATTATAGTAAAAAATTCTCATAAAAAGTCACATATCAACTTAAATTAAAAATTTAAATTAGTGAACTAATCAGACTCTAAAACTAATTCAGTCAAATATTAATCTGTGAGCGATGCTAATAAATTAATATTTATTGTTCTTAAGAATATTTATTGGTCTTAAGATAAACTCTAGTGATCATAAAATTAACCAATGTCTTTAGCATGTTTCTTAACTAATTAGATTAGTGTGTGACGGGTAAGCAAGGTTTATGATGACCATTGTGGCTAAATGAATTATTATTTAATATGGTTGACTTTTTATATGTTATTGAGAATTTATTAGTGTTTGACTTTTTTCGATGATTCATATATAGAATTGCGATATATATATATATATATATTTGTGAAAACTGGTGTGTTGACAATACATCATGAACTTTTAAAATTAGTTTTAGTTATAATTGAAGTTTAATAATTAATGGCATTATTAAATTGAAAATTCGAGACACGAAAATGTGCAACATGGTTTGAAAAATGATAACGTTTATCTTTTATATGAGAATCTCGTGTTTTATTTTTTCAATTTGATAATAGTAGTTAGTTATTGAATCTCAATTTCTACTAATTTAAAAATTCAGCTTTCATTTTGCAAGCTTAGCTTATATATATATATAAAAGAATAACTTAGAGTGTAATGGTACAATTTTTTTATAATTGATAATTATATATATTGTGAAAACTATTGACTTAAATCCAAATGTCAACCCTCTAAGAAGAACTTGTAACAAGCTTCAATGCTGACCATGTTTTGCATTCACACTACAATGCACTTTATGAATTATTTGCTAAAGATCGCACTCTATGAATTGTTGCCTATACTCGTAAGAAGTTTGACATATTCCATCTAACTGTTAAAGGGATTCAAAAGATCTTATCATTGTTAATATTCAAACCCCAGGAAGTACATGAAGACTTTCTTGACTTTCTTGCACCGGATCTCGTAGGAAAAAAGGGTTGGATGAAGGGTCTGGTAGATATATATATATATATATATATATCTACCTACATAACTAAATATATGTACATATATATATAAATATATCTACCTACATAACTAAATATATATATATATCTACCTACATAACTAAACTCAAATCCATTTTCGTTTTAGTTATTTGCGAAACGTTTCACACACAACATTTAAGAACATTCGAATCCCAAGTGTGTGAAACGCTTCGCCTATTTTTCTTGGAGGTGTTTTAGGGTTTTTCCTCTTTTGATTTTTATGTATTTGTAATTATTTTTTTTGAATTTCTCTTTAATTCTTTACTAGTTTTTAATGTGTGCTCTGCATGCACGATTGATTTAAAATAATGGTTATATAAATTTTTTTAAAAAAAGGAGAAAGAAGAAGAAAAAAAAAGCACAAAAGAAATGAATACAAAAGTGAGAAAAAAGATTTGAAATAAAAAACACAAATAATATTGTTACTTATTTTGTTGTGTTTTACGTTAGTTTTATTTTATTTAATTTGGTATGATTTTATTTTATTTTAGTGAATTTTTGTTTATTTTTAATTTAAATTATTTATAATATTTTTATATGAATAGTATCAAAAATTTAGTGCAAAACGTTGTTGAAATGGACAAAATGGATCACAAACCATTTCAAAATAAATAAATAAATAAATAATAAATAATAAGAAAAAATAAAATTACGTTTCTGCATGTGGGCCCCGCCACATTTTCCCTTGGCCGATGAGAGAACGACACATGACATGGGATTGTTGGCCACTAAAGGCTTGCGCGAGATTGTCTGCAGTGCTTACCTGAGCTCAATTATTTTCTCCAATGATTTATTGAAACGTAGATGCTCATTTTAGTAGACGAATAGAATCGCACTACGTGGATCCCACTAACGAGGAACGCCAACTGTATAGTGATACTAGCGATTTCATTGAAATGAGGCGCACCGAATCATTTTCTCCTCTAGGAAACAAAAGGTTTCTTGGAGTGAAAAACGGATAAAAAGTTTCGTCCAACCCCCCTCCTCTCGACAAAAAAAAAAAAAAAAAAAAAAAAACGATTCTCGTTTAGTGGATAGTAAAAATTTCTACCTCGTTCACTTTACAAATTTGAGTTTTTAATTTTAATTAAAATATAATATTTTTTAAAAATTTTTTACTGTAACAAAAAAATTAAATATAATATTTTCTAAAAATTTTTTATTATAAAAATTTAAAATTAAAAATTTAAATCAATAAAATAAATAATGCCTCTATCTTCCTTTCTCCTTTCTTCTCTCTCTTCTTTCAACAGTTTTTATAACCATTATCTTAAAAGATGCGAGCGCTTTTTGAGATATTTTTCTTCCTTTCTCCGTTTTTTGTTTTTGTTACTTTTTTGTCCTTATTTCTTTCTTTTTTCCATTTTTTTTCCAATAATTCAAAGGATATATGTGTGTGTATATGTATGTGTAATTTATTGTGGATATACTTTTGTGTAGGGTATTCGTGGTTTGAGTTTTTTTTTTTTTTTTTTTTTTTTTTTTTCGAAAAGCACCAATAAAATAAAAAAATATTTTGTTTTGAGGAATTTTAATATTTTTAACAAAAGTGAAATTAAACTAAATCTCTCATAAGGGGTTTTCATAGTTTAGGTTTAAGACTAAAAGAATTTTTAATATTTTACAAAAATTATAAAATTATTAATTCAAACTTAACCAAAGGATCACTCAATTCAAGTTTGGCTGTACTAGATAGACTAGAAATCAAGTGACGTTCCCATGACAGTTTGAGTGGCTTTTAGCTTAATTTGTGCGGGCGGTTTGGTTAACAGTTTAAGAGTTCTCAAACCGCCCAAAAATATACGACTTTCATTTCTTACACGATCTCTATATATGAGTTTTATTCTCGTATTTGTGATATGCTTCGTGGTAAAGTATTGATATTACTATCAGATCTACTCGTTTTGTTTTTATTTCTAGGGTCTTGTTGTAGAAAATATTTCGTTACTTTTTGGTGAATAGAAAATGCTTTGTTATTTTTGGTGAAGAGAAAATGTTTTGTTATTAAGGCCCTGTTTATTTCACCGCTTTGAGTTTTGTTAAAAAGTTTTCAAAAATAATCACATTTAATTTTTTTACTATAATAAAAAATTCTCACATAAAATTACATTTTAATTCGAATTAAAAACTCAAACCAGGACCCTAAAATGCTTCACATGATTTAGTAGCAAGTTTGATACTAAACTGTGAACGCCACTACTTGTGGCATTTTTTCGGCCGAAAAAAATGAAATGTGGATAATGGGCACTAATGGGAATAAGAGGTTAATGTGATTGGGTTTCACACTGCTCAATAGGGACCACACTGATGGAGTTAGATTAATGGGATGTCCTTTAATTTATCAACTATCAATTTATGGATCAATTATTCTTAATCAATCAAAGGAGCCTACTACATATCTAAAGTCTGGGATTATAACTAGGCTCATGCATATATATTCTAACTCAAAAAAACTTAACAAAAATTAATTTCTTTTTTCGTCTTCTTCATCAAATTTTACAATACAACTTTTATACATAGAATCGATATCGATCACTCTTGAAGAAATATAGCATTATATGATTACTTTATTTTCTATTGAGATGATTGTTATTCAAATGTTTACTTCTTTTTTTTTTTTTTTTTTTTTCCTGGTAGTCTTCATAGTTTTTTTGGACGTGATCATAATCGTCCATTTTATGCTAAAAGGATAGTGACGTGACCATAACTATCTCTATATGTTGAAAAGATATAATGGTACAAGATTAGATAAGTTTGCATATTATAAAAAGAAAATGAGACAAATACTCTAAAAGAGTGCTTAGATTTTTAACTTTTATTCTTCATTAATATTTGTTTGAGTAAAATAACTATATTAACTAAAAGGGTATTAATTAAGAGCAATGATAGAACTCAGGCTCATTTATTATGAGAGCAAGTTCAGAATTATAAAGAGTCAGTTAATTAGGAATTTTGGGTCTGGAATTTAGAGAGGAGAAAATTGAAGAAAGCGTGAATGAAATGAACTAATAATAACTAATTATGATAAACAAGCACGTAAAAGGCATTTTATTTCCTTATATATAAAGTCTCACACAACACAAGTACATGACATATAATATTATTCTCACACACTGAAACTCGAAGTAGCTTTGTTCACATAAATACTAATTTTCTTCTTCTCAACAGCATTTATTTTAAAGACATATATTTTAAGATCATATGTATTTCTTGATTTAATTAGGCTGTAGTGAGAAATGAAGAAGTTGGCTCTTCATGAATATTCATGACTCTGGGAATGGGTTTGAGGAATTGACTAAACCAACGAACAGATTCTTTGGGGATTCTTGCTAAGTGATTTTCACGATCAATTTGGTAGATGCCAAATTTATAAGTGTAACCGGAATTCCACTCAAAGTCATCAAGAAGTGTCCAAATATAGAATCCCTTCACGTTGGCTCCAGCCCTGTCAAAACAATTGGGTGTTAGTACCTAAAGCATTAATGATTATTTAGCCATTACCGTTCCAATGGAAAATTAGAATGCAAGTTTAATGATAACAGAAATTAAATTAAGGTCCACATATGCTTGCTTACCCAAAAGGCCATTATGAGCCTGTGTAGTATCATAAATTAGTTTAATTACTACTTCTCCCAAATGGTTTATAATTGTTTTGGACATGAGCCAACAATAGTTTACATTTTATGTAATTATATAATTTCATATAAGGACGAGCTTTTAACGGTTACGTTTTCATAGTACTTACCTATCAGATATAAAAATTTAATAATGTGGCGTCATAAGAATTTAATCTCATTAATTATTGTAGATTTTTTTCTTTCGGTCAACTATCTAATTTATTACAACCGCCGGATTAATATCTTATACCTAAAATAATAATACATTATAAGCTCAACATAGATTAAAAGCCTAACACATGATAACAATGTTAGAAAGTACAATTATATTGATTTGAACTTAGACCTCCTATTTTGATACCATGTCAATTTTACAATAAAAAAATGGCAATTGAAAAAAGGAGAAATGAAAAAAAAGATAATCAATCCTGAATTGTTCTAGGATTTGTTCGTGATGGACATACTCTTTGAGGTTATTTCTTGAAGGTACAACTAAAAGTGAGGTTCCTACCAAAATTTATAGATATATATATATATATATATATTCTGCTTTGACAAAGTAGTACTATATATTTAAATTTTATGTAACAAAATAAGAGTGCAAATATTGGCGCTTACTTAATAGCCTTTAAGAGATGTTGTAGATGACTACGATAGTAATCTATTCTTCCAACATCATTGAGACTAGTACTATTGATGGGATCAGGAACTCCTGCAATAACAATAAAACCATATTTATAATTAATTTTTGATCAAGACCAGTATATCAATTCTTTTAAATAAATTCACATAAATTAGTCCTTCTATTTTATCATATTATGATTTTTTAAAAAAGAGGAGAAAAAAGAAACAAAAAAAATTGAAGAATTAATTTTAATTTACCATTCTCAGTGATGTAAATAGGAGGATTGTTGTAATTTTCTTTTATGTACAACACCAATTCGTCAATTCCTTGTGGATAAACGAACATCCACGTTCCATCAATCTACATCATCAATTGTAAGTTAGAATTTTGTACACTTAGAATGAGAATCATGAATTTGAATAAATTTTCTTGATGTTGCTTATATAATTTAAGCTAACAATTCGATCATACACAAAAAAAAAAAGATAAATGGAAAGAAAGAAAGTACCGGTTGTCCAATAGGTACACCATCTTTGGAATCTGTATCATTTAATTAGGCATGAACATTTAATATTTAAAAGATTATTATCTAATCCACATTTATTAGTTCTAGAGACAATAAACTGTATGGTAATATATATTGGACTCAATTACCTGTAAGATTAACACGACTATCACCATGAGGACCTTGATTTATAACGCATGAGACATTTGAATCCTCCGCATATCTTGCAGTATAATAATTTAGACCCAAGAAATCGTACGACTTTTTTATTAGTTTCGATTCATCTTCAGTGAATTTAGGCAATCGGCATCCAACCAAAGATTTCATGATTTCTGGATAGTCTCCGAATGTAATTGGGTGAAAAACCCTGAATAAGTCATGGTATATGTATACAATAATCAATTAATCAATAATAATCACTTGAGTATAATGTGACTTTTATAATTTTATTGTACTTTTATGTTGAACCTGAGGCAGTCATTAGAAAATCGAACTATTTAGACATCATTGCAAGAACAAATTATTGTTTAGAAGACCTATAATAAGTGACATATATATGTTAGATGAGTCTCACCATCCAAGCGAGAAGTCTAGGGCTCTATAGGCTGCCAAACAAGATTCAGGTGTACGAAATTTTGGTACGACCCATAAAGATTGTATTGTTATTCCTATATTTCCCTTTTGAAGTTCCTGAAAGGAATAAACAAGGCATATAATAAATTTTTATATTTTCTAACATTATAAATATCTTATAGGAAAAGAAATATCATATGTGTTTACGTTTAGTTATAAACACGTGCGCTATTCTTACGTGTCATAAAAGGAGCCTGTGGACCACTTATACAAAGCAAATTACTAATGCAACAGGACAAAAAAGGAATGGCAATATTAATCACAAGGCCTAAGACTAATTTGGCTTAACAATAATAACTAATTATAATAAACAAGCACGTAAAGGCATTTTATTTCCTTATATATAAAGTCTCACACAACACAAGTACATGATAGATAATATTATTCTCACACACTGAAACTCGAAGTAGCTTTTGTTCACATAAATACTAATTTTCTTCTTCAACAGCATTTATTTTAAAGACATATATTTTAAGATCATATGTATTTCTTTAATTAGGCTGCAGTGAGAAATGAAGAAGTTATTGGCTCCTCATGAATATTCATGACTCTGGGAATGGTCTTGAAGAATTCTCTAAACCATTCAACAGAACGTTTGGGGATTCTTGTCAAGTTATTTTTGCGATCAATGTGGTAGATGCCAAATTTATAAGTGTAACCGGAATTCCACTCAAAGTCATCAAGAAATGTCCAAATATAGAACCCCTTCACGTTGGCTCCAGCCCTGTCCAAACAATTGGGTGTCAGTACCTAAAGCATTAATGATTATTTAGCCATTACGGTTCCAATGGTAAATTAGGATGCATGATTAATGATAACAGAAATTAAATTAAGGTCCACATATTCTTAATTACCCAAAGGCCAGTATGAGCCAACAATAATTGCTTACCCAAAGTAGTATGATAAATTAGTTTAATTACTACTTCTCCCAAATGGTTTATAATTGTTTTGGACATGAGCAAACAATAGTTTACATTTTATGTAATTATATAATTACATATAAGGACAAGCTTTTAACGGTTACGTTTACATAGTAGTTACTTATCATATATAAAAATTTAATAATGTGGTGGTATAAGAATCTAATCTCATTAATTATCGTAGACTTTTTTCTTTCGACCAACTATCTAATTTATTACAATTTCCTGATCAATATCTTATAGCTAAAATAATGATACATTATAAGCTCAACATAGATTAAAAGCCTAACACATGATAACAATGTTAGAAAGTACAATTATATTGATTAAAAGCCTAAAATTTATATATATATATATATATTCTGCTTTGACAAAGTGCAAATATTGGCGCTTACTTAATAGCCTTTAAGAGATGTTGTAGATGACTACGATAGTAATCTATTCTTCCAACATCATTGAGACTAGTACTATTGATGGGATCAGGAACTCCTGCAATAACAATAAAACCATATTTATAATTAATTTTTGATCAAGACCAGTATATCAATTCTTTTAAATAAATTCACATAAATTAGTCCTTCTATTTTATCATATTATGATTTTTTAAAAAAGAGGAGAAAAAAGAAACAAAAAAAATTGAAGAATTAATTTTAATTTACCATTCTCAGTGATGTAAATAGGAGGATTGTTGTAATTTTCTTTTATGTACAACACCAATTCGTCAATTCCTTGTGGATAAACGAACATCCACGTTCCATCAATCTACATCATCAATTGTAAGTTAGAATTTTGTACACTTAGAATGAGAATCATGAATTTGAATAAATTTTCTTGATGTTGCTTATATAATTTAAGCTAACAATTCGATCATACACAAAAAAAAAAAGATAAATGGAAAGAAAGAAAGTACCGGTTGTCCAATAGGTACACCATCTTTGGAATCTGTATCATTTTATTAGGCATGAACATTAAAGATTTAAAATATTATTATCTAATCCACATTTATTAGTTCTAGAGACAATAAACTGTATGGTAATATATATTGGACTCAATTACCTGTAAGATTAACACGACTATCACCATGAGGACCTTGATTTATAACGCATGAGACATTTGAATCCTCCGCATATCTTGCAGTATAATAATTTAGACCCAAGAAATCGTACGACTTTTTTATTAGTTTCGATTCATCTTCAGTGAATTTAGGCAATCGGCATCCAACCAAAGATTTCATGATTTCTGGATAGTCTCCGAATGTAATTGGGTGAAAAACCCTGAATAAGTCATGGTATATGTATACAATAATCAATTAATCAATAATAATCACTTGAGTATAATGTGACTTTTATAATTTTATTGTACTTTTATGTTGAACCTGAGGCAGTCATTAGAAAATCGAACTATTTAGACATCATTGCAAGAACAAATTATTGTTTAGAAGACCTATAATAAGTGACATATATATGTTAGATGAGTCTCACCATCCAAGCGAGAAGTCTAGGGCTCTATAGGCTGCCAAACAAGATTCAGGTGTACGAAATTTTGGTACGACCCATAAAGATTGTATTGTTATTCCTATATTTCCCTTTTGAAGTTCCTGAAAGGAATAAACAAGGCATATAATAAATTTTTATATTTTCTAACATTATAAATATCTTATAGGAAAAGAAATATCATATGTGTTTACGTTTAGTTATAAACACGTGCGCTATTCTGTACTTATAATATATGATAGTACTTTCTTTGAACAATATAAATTGTTTGAAACAAATACCTTTTATCTAAAATTATAGTTTCAATTATATGAGTAAATACACACAGTAACCGGCATAAAAATGTGACAACAGATCTTGATTTTACCGATAGATAACTGCTGACCTTGTATTTCTTTCTATACAAGTCCACTGCTTTTGCATGAGCGAGAATTAAATGGTGAATCACGATGTAAGGTTCTGTTGCTGAGTTCCCATTAGTGCAATTTCCATTATAATGAGAACATCGTCCAGGTGCGAAAACACCAAATTCATACGCTTTGGTAGTAAAAATAACTGGCTCATTAAATGTAATCCAACTTTTCACATAATGGCCAAATGTTCTGAAGCAAAAATCCACATATGCGAGATAATCATCCCTATAAAATAAGAGAAACTTATTAATAATTGGCATAATGGTAATTTCTTATGTAATATTTTGATCTGTACATAGATTCTACTGTATGTGTGTGTATATATACATATATATGTATGTATATGATGTCTTACACGAACTTCGGGCTCAAAAATCCACCATATTCATCTTCTAGAGCTTGAGGCAGATCCCAGTGAAATAAAGTCACTACTGGTTTGATGCCTACTTATAAAAAGAAAAGAAAGTCAGATCAAAACAAATTATCAAAGGAAATCAAACTAGTAGGATTGAGAATTATCAAACCCACGTTATGAGTCAAATATGATGAATACTTAAAGGACAAATAAGAAGTTATGAAATTAACCATTTCTATTAAGCGTCTCCAAGAGACTTTTGTAAAATTTGATGCCATCAAGATTCGGTTGCCCACGTCCATCTAAAATCGAAAGTAAGCTTCATTATTTTTAGATAAAAAATCGATACTTACTCAGAAATTCATAAATATATATTAGCTAATACAAAGAATAAAACTTACTTGGTAATACTCTAGACCAAGATATAGAGAATCTAAAGGAGTTGAAACCCGTTTTTTTCAGTAGGTGGATGTCGCTCTGAAAAACATTTAAGCATTTTGAGACTAAAAAACTAATAAAAATGCATCTTGAATTATTAAAACATAGATCGATCATATTTGAAAATCCCACGTAGAAAAAAGTATATTTCATTTTTGTTTTTCAATAGGTATATATATATATGTATATATGTATGTATATATATGTTCATGTATAACGGAAAAATTGTGAAAGAATATAGGAAATATACGTATTAATAAGAAAGTAGTACGTACTTATAATATATGCAGGAAGAGTTTTACTCAATTCTGCGTATGTTTACTATATTTTCTTTTCAAAAACAAAAAATGGGGTTGACGTAATTTCTTTTATTATATAGTTAGCAAGTGGAGCACTTTAAACCTCATATCTAAAATAGAATTCTTCTGCAACTTTTCCAGAGCTTCTGTCAGCTATTTTTTCTGTTAAATTCATGAGAATGGAAAGAAATGTAATTAGATAGAAGTACGATTATATACTGTACATGAAAAATAAAAGAGTATAAATTTGTATTAGACCTGGATAATTCTCAGTGAAGGTATCCCATATACTGGGTTTTCTTCCACCAATATCCGCCGCTCCTTCATACTTTTAATAGAAAAACAAATTAAGCAATGTAATGCCACATATTATAAGTGGTATAAACTATAAAATATGATATAAACAACTAGAATTTGATGCATATACCTGATAAGCAGCTGATGATGCTCCGAATATGAAGTCAAGTGGAAAATCTGACCGACTAATACCACGATCAAGTTGAGCAACACTGCATGCCAACAAATAGGGCACAAAGAGTAATAAGAGAGAGAGATTTTGATGAGTTTCCATTCTTAGTTACTTCTACATTCTCTTGCATTCTGTATGGTGGTCTTTATATAGACATGACAAACATGATGGAAATAAATAAAAGCTTTGAAAAAAATTAAAAGTGGATGTTGATATTAAAAGGATATTGTTTTTTTTTAATTCATTTTTGGGTTGAACGATAAGTTCTGATGAATCGAAGAATGAAATATTACATTAAAAAATTATGTGAGTCCATCATTAAATGACATAGTAATTAATGGTGATCATAGTTTAATACGTAGGCATACACCATATAATGGGAGCGTTTGATATGCAGTAATGAGTAGAGATTATATTACTAAAAATTGATAGAGAGTAAAATGATTCTCAAGAAACTTATATTATCAAGTTTGGTTATTATGTATAAGAATTTAAAAAATCATTTCTAGGAATATCTTTTTATAGGGTTTGGGTGTGCACAGTAATGCAATATAGTTTTATTATAAAATTACAATTTTAAAAATATTGAACCTAATTAAATCTTATTTAATTAGGTAACTATCATTTCAATCACTTATATATATATTTTTTCCAAATATCGTGAAAAAATATTAATTAAAATAGGTAATTATCCTTTCACTCTCTGATATTTTCTTTACGTATTGTGAAAAAATATTAATAAAACATAACATAACCAAAAGAAATAATACTCTAAAATATATTTTGGAAATTAAGGGAAAAAAAAAAACACACGGCATTGCTCAGCCATCCACCATCACTGATATTTCTCAACCCATTTCCTCCGCCAGAATGTCCGGAGTTGTGTTTGGAAAGAAGAAAAATCTATTAATATCCTCTATCTCTCTGTATCTCTCTCTCTCTCTCTCTCTCTATCTCTCTATCTCTCTCTGTCTCTTAGACAAATCAATTAATCTCCCCTCTCTAAACAAGATCTGAGTTTCAAAAGGCAGTCATGGGGCTAGACGAACGGAAGCTTTCGCGGGGTGGAGAACGGCGGCGCTGCAATATGTAATACAAGCACACAGTATGTGCAGAACGACTAATATGCTTGTTGTATCACGCTTTGATGTTCAAAATAATCCTTTTTAATTACTGGTAATAAAAAATGAATGAAAATAATTAATGAGTTGAGTTTTCATAGTTACAACTCATGGTAATAATGCAAGTAACTAGTCTACGTAACTTATAAGAAGCCGATATGTAATAATAATATAGGAGGCTTGTGACATCAGATTACACTATCTCCCTAACCAAATCTTTTTTTCCCTTTGCTTTTTCTTTGTTTTAAACTAATTATCATGGTAGAAAGTGCTACATTTAGATTGGTTATAAGTTATACTATTTGTTATAGGGTTACACATTGTTACTTATAAGAGAATCGGTACTTAAATATCGGAAAAAACAGACCACGCAATCAAATAAACCAAATCTTTCTCTATGTTCTTTTTTCCATGCAAACAGATTACATTCAATTCAAAAAACCTAATTTGATAACTACACATTTTTGCATGAACATCCATAATAAAGCTTAAACGGATCATGATCTCTGAAATTTAAAAGGGGTTATTAGCTCGTTAGTCTCTAATCTTTAAGCGTAGTATTTGGTCCCTAAACTTATAATTTAAGCAAGTTTAGTCCTTGAACTTTAATTTTTTGACATATTTGGTCAATAAAAATAAAATTGACGAATGATTTATGAAATATTGTAGCAAAATTAAACAAGCGTCCATAGCGTAATTGTTTAAAGTTTAAAGCAAAGAGTTTTTTTATATGCAAATTTTTTTCCTTGTTACTATTAAAATCCATTAAAAACTATAATATTTTACGCATACTGAAACTATTCATGTACAAATTTTTGGTTATTATACGATAATAACGTGATTATCTAAGCTAAATTTCAAAAATTGTTCGTCAATTTTACTATCAAGTCAACTTGCGCTAACTATTTCCTTTTTTGAAAAAAAAATTAGATCAATTACGGGAAAAAAATCATAAATAATACTTAAAATGATTAATAAAGAGAAAAAAAGATCATTATTTAAAATGACATAAATAATAGGTCGCACAAAATCATGACAAATTATATACTTTTCATTCAATATTTATGGGTCGTTAAACTACAATTAATGATTTAATAATAAGTTGTTCAAAATTCTTGCTCCGTCGTCTTCTTCCTTTTGCTTTAATTACTAAATTTATTTGTAACTAAGTTTTTAATTCCACGAATTTGCTATTATTTATGAATAGTAATTATATTTAGCTCTGAATGTCAGACTTGAATTCATCCCGTCAGTCAATAACTCGTAGTAACCTTCTTTAATAACTCATCAACCACTAATAATATTACTATTTAATTAGTGTAATTTCGCGTTTTGCTAATTTCTTTTCATTACAGCTGGCAAACTTATTCAGCAACCTACTAGTACTGCTCCAGAAATTATTCAGGGAATCAATGAAACGTTATGTGGTACACTCATTTTGTTTATGTAGTACACTTATTCAATAAAACATTAATATTTAGACATTTTATTTATGTCAGTTTTTATAATTACGTTTCTCTTTATTAATGTGTATTGCATTAATAAATCACTATAATTACTTTACCAATTAACTCTTTTATATTAATGAATTATTAATGAACTAAAATTAATTTTTATTTTTAAAATGTTATTATATTAATTTTCTCTAATATCTTACTAATTGATACTTGACAGGAAATATGTATGTACTAACTCATCCAAAAGAAAAGGAATATATATAAACTAATTATTACTAGGCATAGAATATGTAATGCAGGGATGATATTCTTCGATTAAAGAATATCAATGTCTGTGAAACTTTTATGCCCGTTTGTTGTGTTTTATTGTTTTAATTATTATTCCCGGAATTTTGCCTCCTTTTTTTTTTTTTCAAAAATTTCTTCTTCAATTGTTTGTATTGTGAATAGCTGTTACAATGTCACAGTTATTCTTGCTATGAACAGCGTTATGCATATATTTTTTTCTATCAATTTTCGGTCATACACCAGAAAAGAAGAAATTAAGAATAAAATCATGTTGCTATCTGTATCTATAAGCTATAATCTATCTATAACTATATTGTAAATGAGAGATCACTTTTTGCCCTATTCAAAGATTTGGTCAAATTATTTTTTCTTATCCTTAATTTGTCTTATTCTCTTCATTTTTTAAAACTTTTCTTAGTTTCTCTTTTTCTTATTTCTTTTTTTTTTCTTTGTCTTAAAATCATATATCTTCAAATACGACTAATCAAAATATTTTTATTATAATTTATACCTATTAACATTATTTATTTCAAATATATCTCAATTAAATTATATTTTCCAATCATTTAAAATATGATTTTATGAAAGCGACTTTCATGAAAACTCTTTCTTTACTAATCACAACAATAAAATAATTTTCTCAAATATATTCATATTTGAATGTTTTTCTTCTTCTCGTTTGGAGACAAATTTTTTTTTTTT